ACCGACTGCAGGATCCCCCACCTTTCCTCTGTTCCCCCTCCCCTCCTCCCTGCCTTCGCTCATCGTTCACTCCAATTCCGCTGCTCCTCCCCTGCTCCCCGCCCATGAGCTGTGGTGGGCCTGTGTGATCTCTGGTTTGCAACACAACTCCACAAACATTGAGCTCGGACTGTGTTTGTGTGTGTGTGTGGTTGAAGCCCGACGGCGTGTGTGCGTGTGTGTGTGTGTGTGTGTGTGTGTGTGTGTGTGTGTGTGCACGTGAGTGAGAGAGAGAGAGAGACAGAGAGAGTCGAGCGCAGTGGAGGGCGATCCATGACAAACGGCACCAATCGAAATGGCCCGTTGCATGGACAAAGGCGGCGCAAGGTACCCAAAGTTGCCTGCTGTCTCGGCCGTTCAGGCCAAGGTACCTGGCCAACGGCCTAGATTCAGGCAGTCTTAAGATCTTAAGACTCCGTCAATTCAGGCCGTCAGTCAGGTAGCACCCAACGGCCCAGATCGCAGATTTGTTACATTTCTTCGACGATCTGGGCCATCAGTCCAGTAGCACCAGACGTCCAGATTGCAGATTTGTTATGTTTCTTCGACGATCTGGGCCGTCAGTCCAGTAGGGCCACGGCCCAAACTTCAGATTTGTCATGCTAGTGATTTTAATAGTGTAGGGATATTGCCTGAACGCCCTGAACTTAATAATTGCACATCCTAAGAAGCATGGAGATTTCACAGCGCTACCTATCAGGTACACACTTCATAAAAAAACTCAAATCCTACAACTCCAAGGGTGGGACTCATCCAGGCCCTTGTCAGCCTTCAGGCAGCCGTAAGAAAAGGCTATACACAGTCGGCCAAAATCAGGGCAATCTCAGATCCTGGTCATTATACTCCAGGACTGTATAAACACGACAACTGGATACCCCCTGGCATTTGGGAAGCACCCAGGCCCTTTCCAAGCCTTCAGGTAGTCATTAGACAAGGCTATACACAATCAGCCAAAATCATGGCCATCTCAGATCCTGATCATTACACTCCAGCAGTGTATAGACGCCATGAGTGGAGACCCCCAAGCAGTTGAGACGCATGCCCTCAAACTAGACCAGATTGAAGATCAAACACCAAAAAAGAACGAAAGAAGAACAAAGTGAAGATCAGGACCAAATCTTCACGACCATCCAGATAATCTAGGGCCAGGACCAGGATGGTCTCGTCAGACCATCCAGCAGGTCTGCTTCCACGCTAGGAAAATGACCCCAAACAACCTGCTCTGACTGCTCATGTCCATCCACAGTGAGCCGTTTCGGAGTCACAAACATGTCTGCGCTTCGGATGTATGCTAGAAATGTGGCCGGATGTCTGGCCTCACTACCTTACCATAGATACAGTGTCGGGCCTCAGTACCCAACAGTAGATGCTGAAAAACAAAAACGGAATACATCGGCAAAAGAAAAAGAGGCTATATCCTACTACATCCTGTAGTATAATCCCCTTCAGAGCAAAAGCATACGTCTCACTGCCGTTCTCTTGTGTCTCTCTGTTTACCTTCTTTTCGTGTGACCAGTGTCCTCTCCTACGCAGCTAATTTTTCATTTCAAAGGCGGAAGAAAGCGAAAAACAAGAGTAGATGTTGTTCCGCCCATGCTATAACGAGATGTGCCACAACCACCTTGGGAGTCAAAATCATGTATACAACTTCTATTCTCTAGAACCATACTGTTGTTCATTGCCATACTCTGATCTCCTTCTCTTTCTTGCAGGCCTGTCTGCAGCTCTAATGCTTCACGCTAGGCAAATTGCCTCGTATCTCATTCAGTTTTGCATAATGTTCCCTACTGGTTTCGCACAATGTTCTCTACTGTCAAACACTATTTGCTTCCTCGTACAATATTTTGGTGCTCCTGGGTGAAGGGGTGCAGATGACGAGGTGCGCACCACCCTTCGTTCTGGCACAGGGTACCCATTATCTGACTATGCTCACCACTTCATCCCTGCATATGTGCACTCATAACATTGTATCTCTAGTTTCCAGGACAAAAGAGAGAGGTGAAAGACTCTGAAGCTCTGGCAAGTGATCATGGTCATTCAGCATCGAACCGCCAACCATGCATAGACGACAGCACGAACCCTATGTGGTTGGAGTTCCAACCAGCATAGGAGACAACATGAGCCCTACGTAGACGAAGTTCGGACCAGTTCCCTACCAATGACAACAGGACAACATAACAGTGTATGGACGAAATTATGGCATTGCGCATACAGGACATACCTCCATGCGACAGCCGATTCCCATAGATGAATGCTTCCCCAGATGTGGGTGTGGATAGCCCAGCAAGCATATTCAACACAGAGGACTTGCCTGAGCCACTGTGACCCTGAAAAAGCAACAAGTACACAAATACATCAACAGCAATACAGGAGTCCTCAGACAAACATCACAGCAATCAAGCAATGTGATAAGGACTCAAAGTCTCAAACACATGAAGAGGTATTGAAGGAAAGCAGTTAGATGGTTAACGCCAATACTTCGACCACCGGACTTCGTAACTGAATATTATGAAGCTTGAAAAAGGGCAGGCACATCAAGGAAAGACCTTAGAGTAGAGTGTCCCATGCAACACCACAATAACTTTCTTATGACACAGAGGATGCAGGGACTGGTGTTAAAAACGGTCCAGAAAGCCACAGTGACACCAGTACCTTAAACCACCAGTGCACAGCCCCAGCCTTGCAGAAAAAGCAATGCGTCCCCATGGCAGTGTTTCACTGGCTCGGCCTACCAGACCAATAATGCCTGGTGGAGCCAGCTAAAAAAGGAAAAGAGAAGTGCTGCTGGCGTTTCCAAAAAACTTGGCGCGCAGCAAGGCATCTCCGGGGGCGGGTGTACTGGTGGTTTAAACTGCAAATCTTGAGGACTCGTGTTACACAACAGGCAGCAGTCAGCTCCGTGCTAAGGGACAATGAAGACTGGGGGGTACAGACATCCAGAGACATGTTTTCCGAGTAACTGCTAATTTCAAGTGCAGTCCGTTGGAGCAGGTTGGGAAGGCAGGCTCCGTCATAGGTCCACAAATGCGCCTACATCATGTTTACAAATCTGCAACTTTAAGTCACAGGTCCACACGGCACCTTTACCAAACCTCTGCTTTCCACCACAGGTCCACAAATTACGATTGTGGACCTCGTATCTCAGCCAGGGATCCAAAGGCATCTGCAGCCTCCTTGTGCACTCCTACACCTTCGGCAGCCATTGAAGGAAGTTGTAAGGACCTGCCCAAACACGCACTGCGAACGCAGCTGATTTCTGAGTTCTGCCGCTGGAATGAATGCCTTGCTCAGATTCCCGCTTTCTGCTGAGTTTTCTAAGTCCGTGTGTGTCCGTGTGTGTGCGTGCTTGCTGGTCTGCGTGCCTGTATGAGTGCTTAACGGCTTGAGTGTGTGTGTGACCCGCAAGGGTACTTGCTTGCTTGGGAGGCCCGTACGGCTGGTACTTACCTGTGGCCGTGACATTGAGGGTTGCAGTGGGGAAAACACTTGAGTGACGGGAATAGGCCCGCAACACTTAAGAGCAGCGGCGAAAACACTCAAGTAGCAGGTAGGTCGGTCCCCCACCAAGTAGCGGTAGTGTGTCGGGTACTCCAGGCCGAGAGAGAAGACAAAGTTGGCATTTTTTGAGGCCCAGAAGTTGCAGGCTAGGTCTAGGCGGGCAGCGGTCCAAGTAGCCTGAATCTAGGGCCTGTACGGGGGATATCAGAGTCTGCAATGATGTTTCCCTCCGAAAGGGAGGAGGTACCGGTTGCTTCGAGGCAGCGTGGCCTGGAAGTCACAGCCCAAGAGGCTAATTGGCCGTTATATCTGATGGAGTTTTGCTGCACGCAAGTTTGTATGACACACTGCTGGAGTGCATGGCAGCAGCACAGCTGGGGAAGGACGAGCGCCCAGCTCTCCACCTTGCCTATGGTGGTGGAGCTCGAGCTTGACAAGGAGAAAGAAGGGGGCTAGGGGGAGAGGAGCACCAGGGGTACTTACCTGGCAATGGTGGACACCATCTTCATCACCTTGGTGGGCGCTGCATCTGGAAGCCCCTCATTGGGGTAGAGCTACACCAAGAAGCTTTGAGGCAGAGTCAGGCATGGCGGCCTGAGTGGAAGCAGCCATAGCTGCTTTGTGTTGTCTTTCGCACATCAGGGCAAGGCCCTATAGTCCGCCATAGCCTCATCCTATGAAGAGGAAGGAGGCGGGCTGCCATGGCTATGGGGGACCTCAAGTTGCGCTGGCAGTAGAAGAGGGATTCGGACATTGATTCTGGTTCGGCCATTCATCATTATTATTATTATTTATTGTTTGAATAAAAGGGGAGGAGAAAAGGAGGAGGAGTTTAGTTGGCAAAGAGAAGGGGGAACATCATTGGTCTTTGCTAGTGTACATCTTTCTTTCTTTCTTTCTTCTTCTTCTTGTGCTTCTTCCTCTTCTTCTTCTTCTTTCCCTCTCTCTCCTCTCAAGTTCATTCATTTCTTTCTGCAATTGGACAGCATTGTACTCTCCACACGGCAGTTCAGAAAACTTGAACTTCACATTGTCTTCAGGCAACCTTCTCAGGGTTAGTCGAAGACTTGAGACACCGGAGGTCAAATGAAAAGATGCAAGAAAAGACGCATTCCCCTGCAGTACGTGACATAAAATTTATTTCAACCTGCACTAGTGCCGTACCTGCTGATCATTCACATTGGTTCACAGACTTCCCTGTCATTCTGAAAGGTGCCAGTTTACAGTTTCTTCAGGCACATTAAAATCCCCTTCGATCCTTACCGATACCAGTTTACATGTTTTTATGGCACAAAAACAAAAATACTTTCAGCCTTCACCGGTGTCCTACCTGCTAACCATTCACATTTGTGCACAGACTTCTCTTTCATTCCAACAAGTGCCAGTTAAAATTTTCTCCGGCCACACAGGTCAGTGCTCATCGACGAGCGCACACTCCCAAGTTCGAATCGAACCATACCAAAAGACAACATCAGTGTCAAAGGATGTCCAAGTGCCAAAATGGTAAAACAAACCAGAGTTCAGTGAAAATTCATCGCACTCACCAGGAACGCAAAACATTGCCCTTCATACATTGTCAAAGTAAGCCCCTTTACAGCAACAGATTGGTAATCCTTCCGGGTTGCACTGACCCTGTTCCTCGCATCAAGCCATCCACTCCAGAGCTTCCACCATGGCCTTTGATTCCTCGGGAACACTTTCCGTAGGTTTCTGAGAACAACAGCTGCCTTTTTATGAACAGCTTCTCCGACAGGCTCCATATCCACATTTGCAGCACCTGAAGCAGGAAACCGACTGACTTCGCTGCCTGTGCAAAACAAGGACGATAACAAGCATCACGTGAAGCATCTCAGATGAAGGAATGACTGCAGCTGGTGCCTCTCAGCTCATGCAGAAGGATGCAGCTCTGGAGGAGGAATGTACCCTTCTTCTGAGGTGGGCCTCCTGACTCAGAAGGAAGTACATTTTAGCACAGTCCATGGGAGATCTGAGGACTCATTTCTGTGTTTAGACTCTAGAGCATTTTGCTAATTTGCGTAGACTCTTCAGTAGCAGAAGCAATACATTGAAAGGTCAAAAACAGCCTGCTTCACACTCGAGCAATTGGCCCCCAGAAGCGTGAAACACACTTTGCACGGCATAATCCGGCAAATGCAAATTGAACATAAACCGTGGAAGCAAGCCCTGTTAATAGCGCTTGGCACTCAAGTAATTGCCCCCCAGAAGCACGAAACACACTATGCACTGCATAATCATGGAACTGCAAATTGAACAAAGCCATGGAAGCAAGCCTTGTTAACAGCGCACCACCGCAGCCGTCAGAAGTTAACATCGTGGTTAGGGGAGGTCCCGGGAGGACAAGTGTAGCTCACTCTGCAGCAGCAGAGAAGTGAAGTCCCCAACTCCAAACCACTTCGCCATCAACATCTCCACAGACATTATCCTCATCATTGGTCCATCGTTGTGATGATTATGATGATGTTAGTGTTTACTTCTTTGTTTTGTTGCTTTCTTTCGGAATAGAAAAAATAGAATAGAATAGAAGAAGCAAGGCCCGAGAGGCCTTTTCTTTCGGAAAAGAAAAAATCCAGAACGGTTTTGTTTTGTTGATTTTGTTCTTCATTGTTTATTGTTTACCGTTTACTGCACCTCCTGGGCACGGCAGTGTAAGTGCACAGCACGTGCGGATGGAAGTATGGTTCAGATCCTGGAGTTAGGTGCGTACTGCAATGTTATGGGCTCCACCTTGTAGAGGAAGGTGAAAGAGAAAATGCTGAAGATTATGGCAACAGCATCACGGCGACGGGAAAAGAAAAAAAATAAAAAAAAAATGAGTTGATTTAACTTTTGATTATTTGTTTTCAGTTCGGTAAAGTACCCCGGTATCACTTCTGAGGTAAAAGTTATTTCGCTTGTTTTTTCTGCATGACATAGTTTTTCCTCAGTTTTTTTGCAGGGACCTTGCCCGACCCTTCCCCGGCTGGGCCGCCCGGGCAGTCCAGGTGTCCTGTGTGGCACAGTTGCTAGCCAACGTGTTAGATCCTTGTTTTCCAGAATTTAAAAAATGTTTTCTGCATTTTCCTGGTGCACACGCACATCATGCACTGAGCATGTGGAGTCTAGCAGTGCATTGCGGTGTGCACTTGTAAATATGATCAGAAGATTCAGAACTCATCATCCGGTCCTCAACAATTAAATGTACTGAACCATTCCGTCATTTTATCATTTTAGTCTTCGCCAGATGCTCATACCTTCATTCTAGCATCAGCGTTATTGAGCTTCAATCTTCATGTGAACACCGAAATGCATTGCCTGATTTGTGCTCAATACTAATTATCAAAAATTCCATTGGTCAACCTACAACAAACACATATTGGTGGGTAAGCTTGTCCGCTGACTTTGAAAAGCATGATCAAGGCAACTGTCAGTGTGTGCGCGTCGTGTTTGTGCCTGCCTCCACATTCGCGTTATCAAAAAGTGGCTATCATGTTCTGTTTTACAAACGCCACAGAGAACCCCGCATGTGACACAATCTCATTGGACTCTCACTGACTCAACCATGTCCAGCACACCACCACTCCCAAAGTCAGCAAAACCCTTCAAAAGTAGCTTCCTTCACTCACAGCAACCTTGCAATCCTAGCAGACCATCTGCTTCGGAGCACTGCCGAGAAACGCAACATGCCCAAGGAAAATTACTCTATAGCATCTGGAAAATCCACACACTGGACCCACCCGCCGAGTATACCATCGCTGCGTGTCCAGTTCTGAGCCAAACTATGCCCATCCACCTTCACGGAGCGATAGGAACACCTTGCTCTTATAACCAGTTTTGGTAAACACAACGCCATAGGGACAACATGAAAGTCGCAGACAGTTTCATCGGAGTTTCACCGACTCATCAGGAGGTTGAACCTCGACAGTCTGTTTCTCTGTACGGACACCCACACTTGGCATGCCAGTTTGCATGCAAATGAGCCCATATGACTTCATGTGAGCACACATCCATGCAGATCCATTTACAGTTTTTCCTTTCGAATCCGTCATTCTTTGGTTTTCTGGTCATTCTCTTCCCAGAGCAGCTGCATCTCCCACCTTCCCCCCCCGTCTCTCTCTCTCTCTCTCTCTCTCTCTCTCTCTCTCTCTCTCTCTCTCTCTCTCTCTCTCTCTCTCTCTCTCTCTCTCTCTNACACGCCGCTGGCACTAGAGGCACAGCATGGCCGCCTAGTAACGGCCCCGACCACTGCCGCTCGACCTGACCGGAAAAAACCGTAGCAGGAAGCTAGCGAAGTCGTAGTATATATCGTCACAAACAGAACTACCCGGTAAAACCGTAGGCAGAGAGAGAGAAGAGGACAACAAACGAGGGGCTGTGACAAACTGTTTCGTCGGAGTTTCACCGACTCATCAGGGGTGTGCATATATATATATATATATATATATCGTCAAATAGAACTGCCCGGTAAACCGTAGGCAGAGAGGGAGAAGAGGACAACAAATGAGGGGATGTAACAAACTGTTTCGTCGGAGTTTCACCGACTCATCTATATATATAGCCAAACAGAGCTGCCCAGTAAACCGTAGGCAGAGAGGGAGAAGAGGACAACAAACGAGGGGCTGTGGCAATCTGTTTCGTCGGAGTTTCACCGACTCATCAGGAGGCTGAACCTTCAACAGTCTGCATATATATATATATCGTCAAATAGAACTGCCCGGTAAACCGTAGGCAGAGAGGGAGAAGAGGACAACAAACGAGGGGCTGTGACAAACTGTTTATATATATATATCGTCAAATAGAACTATATATCGTCAAATAGAACTGCCCGGTAAACCGTAGGCAGAGAGGGAGAAGAGGACAACAAACGAGGGGCTGTGACAAACTGTTTCGAATAGAACTATATATATATATTTATATATAGAGAGGTCTGGCATCTGGATGAGAAAGAAGGGAAGGGGGAACATGGCTGCACCCTAAACTGGGCCACACTTATAGGAAACAGACCTGCAAACCTGGCTCCGCATCTACACTAGGTTCAAACTATCGCTACACAACTGCACCACAATAGATCCAGCAGTTTCAACTTACACGTCATACTTACCTGAATTGGAACTCGGACAGAATTCTCTCCACAAGTTTTTCAACTGCGATCGTTCCTGAAGTGACATAAGCAAGCTGCACACAGCGTTCACAGGATCGAACACATCCATCAACAAAAGCCATTTGTGACTACCCATTTTTTTTCTCAAAGAGAGGAAAGGACAAGAAATATAAAAAGAGAAAAGCAGGAAGTAAAAGACATGATGACATCACTTGATATGTGCAAAACCGGAAAGGACAATGAAGATCAAAAGAGAAAAGCAGGGAGTAAAATCCATGACATGGGCAAAGAAAGAACGACAAAGGCAGCAACTGCTCATCCCATGATTGCACTGTTCTGGGTGTACTAGGGATTGCAATATCACAATCACGTGTGCAGATAAGTCTTGTCTTTCCCTTTCAAAATGAAATCACAATGATAAAACTGCTCAGCATTGTTAATAGCAACTTCTTGGACTGGAACAGCAAGAATGAAGGGCATAGAAACAGAAAAAACAAACACGAGTCAAAGGAACTTCACTGATGCATATGATACAGGAGTGCATGCACGCGATACTCTCAGCCCCTTCACTCAGGCAACTCTAGACATGATGAAGTCAGCTCTTTGAAAGGCATGTGAAATCACAAAGGCAAATCGCCAATCGTTAGGAAGATAGAAATGGGAAGTAAGCTGTCTGGAAGCATGTGAAATCCCAGAGGCAAATCGCAATACACCAGGTGTTCCTATGACCAGCATCCAGGCACATCCTGTACATATCAGACAGAATAGCCTAGATGAAGCATTGACCTGGTTCTACCTTTCGTCGCCTTGCATAGGTATGTGGACGACAGGCTGCACGGACGGATCAAGAGTCCAGTTAGCGAAGTAAGCTGTCTGAAAGCATGTGAAATCCCAGAGCCAAATTGCAATACACCAGGCGTTCAGCATCCTGTACATATCAGACGGAATATCACAGATGATCCATTGAGCTGGTTCTACCTTTCGTCACCTTGCACAAGTATGTGGATGACAGACTGCAAGGACGGATCAAGAGTCCAGTTAGCGAAGGAAGCTGTCTGTACGCATGTGAAATCCCAGAGGCAAATTGCAATACATGAGGTGTCCAAATGACCAGCGCATCCAGGCACATGCTATACATATCAGATGGGATATCGCAGATGACCCATTGAGCTGGTGCTGAAGTCCATTCAGAATCGGATAAGATGCACACACATCGGGCATCTACAATTGCAACGGGATATAATCCTTTGGTCTCAAGCAACTGGGATTGATCCCTTATGCGATCTCACCTAACACATGGCAACCACCAGACGAAAGCAAAAGCTTGTGGGAACGTATGAAATGTGCAAAAGTCATTCAGTCATTTAAAACAAAGGTGAAGGGTTTTTGAAACACAAAACAAAAAATGTTGTTTTGCAGTGTACAAGAAAAGGAGGACTTACTTGCTTCTCGTCCTCGTCTCGTTCGGTATAATAGGATGTACAGGGAGTACCCATGTCAGGAGTTCTGCACAATGAATCAGTCTCAGGCTGCAGGGAGACCTTTTCAAGATTCAAATGCCTGCATCAAAGGGATTGTAGAATCGTGCAAGCAATAGACAAAAATCAGCTAATGCTATGAATCAAGCCATGGGGTCTATTGCCAAATGCTGGTGCCTGCATTCATCCATACATTTATGTCTCTCAGTCCATATGTCCACGTGTCTCTCAGTCCATATGTCCACGTCTCGTTATGTATATGTCTTTTTATGAGTATATATATTTGGATTGCATGTCTGTGTCCATGAACGGGCACCTGATCGGATCCGTTAGACCACCAGTACACACGAGCCTGGACGGGCTGCACTGCGCGCCATGCTTTTCCGAACCACCAGCGGCACACCTGTTTTCTTTCTTGGCTGGTGTCACCAGCCACCCCAGCCACAAAATTTTCACAGTAGGCAACGAACAAAATCTACAAGGCTGGGGCCGTGTATTGGAAGCCACCTGTGTTCATGTGTCTGTGCATCTGTCTATCTATGTCTATGTGGCTGTCTATGTATATGTATCAACACTTTCACATTCAGTAGAAAGCCTGACGTGTCCATATATGTACAAGTCTCTCTCTATTTGGACGCCTATGACATTCACATGCCTATTACAATGTGGGTGCCCATGGCTATACAGCTATCTATGTCTATGTTTGGACACAACCGTCTGACATGACTCGTCAGGCAGCCTCCTGAGTTCCAGTACTAAGGTGTCATTGCCCTCTATTTACGTGTGTGTGCCCATGTTGTTCTGTCAATGTGTGGGTATCAAAAGGAGGTATCTATGCTCCTATCTCTATGCCTACTAAACGACTTCTTGCACTTCGCCTGCAAAAGCAAAAGGAGGTACTGGTTTGTCATGTGAAACAGAATGATTGTTATGCCCTTAAAAATACAGAAACAAAAGCAAATGCCATAATGCAAGAGTGGCCCAACGACTGTTTTGCTGACACCACTCTATTTTTCTGCAATACCACTCTTTCTTGGATGGCAGCCGGCAGCCAATCCTCCACACCATGTGGCAGGCACTGACTCTCTCTCTCTCTCTCTCTCTCTCTCTCTCTCTCTCTCTCTCTCTCTATCTATCTCTATCTATCTATCTATCACACATTCACAAGGCCCTTCTCCCCTTCCGGACTCCACTGCCTCCCCCCATTTTTTTCTGACCCTTCTCCCCATCCCTACTCTCTCTCTCTCTCTCTGTGTGTGTGTGTGTGTCTTCCGAGTTATTTTCTGGCTTCTGGTGGGCTCCCTTTGCAACATTTTTTTCCTGCTTTGTCATTGGTGCATCATCAGAATACTCACGGCTGCGCCAGCTTCACCAAAATCAAGAGAGCAATAATATACACCTGCAAAACGAGAGCACGAAACATTCACCATAACAGTACCAGAAAGATGTCAATCTCTGTAAAAAATGCATAATAGCCCATCATCCAAAACTGCCGAAATGCGTACAAACTTACTACAAAGTTACAACCAAACATTTCTTACAAATTGAAACAACTCTGTGAAAGACCATTACAAAAGACAATAACGGCATGATTCCACTAGAGCCTCTTCAAGTAAAGTTGCCCATCGATCAACGAGCCTAGCTCAGTTGGTACACCCCCGAACTGTTGAAATACAGAGCCAAGTTCGAATCCAGATACAAATCAGATGCCCAAAATACCATAAATTCTGAATTACCTAGGGCCAGTCAGCTTCAACGACGATATCTCAAGGCCGTCCTTTACATCAAAAAAAGAAAACAAAAAAATAAAAAAAGTGTCCATCGTTGCTGGCAGATATATCCAAGAGAGTGCCAGTGTGAGTATATGCCCTTAGCAAAATGGCCTTATGGTTTTCTTATAAATTGACCTGAAAAATGGGGGGTCGGTTAACCTTCTCTCCCTTAGCACTGAAAATTGAACCCCCACTTCGTACCCCAGGCAAATCAAGTCAGTGAGAAGATATTCGGAGCTGCCAGATCAAAATGGTTGGCCCCAACCAGGTGCATTTAGTGTAAGCAGTCGGAATCTGGCCTTATCCTCCAATCTGGTGATGGGTTTACTCAAGCAGCATTCGGAGGGATGTACGGGGCTTAACGATGGGTGTATCCACTCTCGTATCCGTTCTACCTTTCTTTGTCATGAATGCAGTCAGCAATTGAGTGGTGACCCCCCGGCAAAAGTTATTTGTACTGCGGGTTCAAACGAAGGTTCTTAGGGAGGACAATCCCATGGCTGTCTCTTATACACATCTAGATGTGTATAAGAGACAGGTCTGTCTGTCTGTCTGTCTGTCTGTCTGTCTCTCTCTCTCTCTCTCTCTCTCTCTCTCTCTCTCTCTCTCTCTCTCTCTGTGTCCATATTTGTGAGTCTTACGTCTCTCTCTCTCTCTCTCTCTCTCTCTCTCTCTCTCTCTCTCTCTCTGTGTCCATATTTGTGAGTCTTACGGCTCTCTCTCTCTCTCTCTCTCTCTCTCTCTTAGGAGCAGCACCAGCCCATGCTGGTAGCATTTCTTCCACTTGCATGCCAGAACGATTTCCCAGTTGCAAGGTGGAAGTTATTTAATCGCAAGTAGACCTCAACCCTTTTCAAACATGATTATAGACGTCAATGTGGCACATAAAAATTCAACTCCCATCAAATAACAATGCACAATGATTTAGTTCAAGATCCCCAATGGATGCCCCTTACACATTGCTTCGCTGACAATGTACCACCCATGCACAGTCATCTTCCCAGATTTTTTTTTTTTTTTTATGGTGATTGGAAATCATGGGGATGAATAACAAATTACAGGTGCGTTGAACTTAACTGGATGCCTTTCTCAGACTGTGGTGGACCTTAAACCGCCAGTTCACCCGAAGCAGAGTACTGCTCTTACCTTTTTGCCATCTCCTGCACAACTGCCACTCTAGGGACTGACATAAGTGAAAGGATTCACGTGTTGCCACAGTACAGCCCCGATACTGTCCTTTTTTTTCTTTTTTTTTTTTGTAATGAAACTGCCAGATAATTGTTTTAACTAGAGTCACCCAGGACCCCTCCTGAAATCTCTGACACCCCAAGCCCTGTTTGCATTGCTCCTGCCTAAACCTTGAACCCTGAAACCTAAACAATCCGCTGTAATGCTGTCATGGTTTTGATATACTACCTCAACGGATCTGCCGCTCTATTCTTGCTCACGTTGCTCCGTGTTCTCAAACCAGTGGAAGACTACTCTGGATCCTTCCATTGTTGCTATCTTACCCTTCACCAACGTACCCCGTTGAAACGTTTTGAATGTCTCGTGAGCTTTCTCCGGGTTTTGTTGGGTTTACCTTCTCGCTCTTTGCCATTGGGCCCTGATATCCGTCTCCAACAGGTTGAGTAGTACTTTCTTGGCATCCAGTCTGTGCATTTGCCCCCTTCCTATCATCATCTGACATCTTCTTTTCCATATGGTCCATAATGTATATTGTCTCAATAGTTGAAATCCTCAATTGCCATTTCTTTGGAAGTTCCATACCAGTGAGGAGGATCCTCCTGTCTTCCGGAAAGGCCTCATCTGAAATCTTTCGCCACAGTTCCCTGGCTACTTCCCACACGTAAGCCGCCTCTGGGCATTGCAGCAGGCAGTGAAGCAGGGTTTCCGTCTCTTCATCAGTACACAGATTGCACTTCTGGTTGATCTGATCCCTCTGATTATGGCCTCGGCGCTCGTACAGCCAAACGTTGACCGGGAGCGCTACGTGGAAAATCAGCCATTGCAAAAATTTGACCCTGCCCACTCGATGCTGACCACGGAAAACGAGAGACTTGCACCTTGGGCACTTCCAACCTCCATTCCCATTGATTAGCCAATGATTCCGTTAGTGGGTGAGACCTCCTTCTGAGCCTGTACCCCAATTTGGTTGTCTAGCGAAGTCTGCTTACTTTTCTGGCAACCCTCAGAAAACCTCCCTTGAGATTCCATGCCCATTCTGCCAGGTCTAGTTCTAAATCTTCTAGAGACGTAATTGGAGCAAAAATCATATAGTTGTCTGTCTCCACCACTCTAACCTTACATACTGTTTTTTTTAATATTGTAATCGGGGAGATAGATGTCTTATCCAATTGACTGGTGTTGATCCCTACTTCTTCTATTGATAACATATCAGCCAACAACCATGCATACCCTGGGCCCGTCTTACCCCTTATTCTAAAAGCTACTTCCGGTTTATCCTCGTGCAACCACGTGGCCCAGTCACCGTTTCCCCAATTCGACTCCTTTCCTAGCAGGTTTACCCATGCTGGTGGTATGGAGATAAGAACATCATTCAGGTTCTCTATCAATTTGTGGGTACCCTTCATCTCGATCCGAAGATCCCTTGCCGTCTTCCATCGCTGTTTGTCGTCTGACCATAAATGTCTAACCTGCCAGAATCCATGTTCCACCCACGTTCCCCCCATTTAGAATCTCTTGCTGTCAGGGTACGCGGCTTCCCTTGGTGATCCTTAATCCAAGGATTGCAGAAAAGTGGTTGACGGAGAACCTCCTCTCTGTTCCTAGGTTCTCTTACTCTTGCTGGGAAAATGTCCCCCCAAACCTTGAGGAGTTGTACCCAATAAGAGCGATCGCTCTTGTCAGTTGCCCCAGGTGTTCGTTCACCTTCGCTTCTACTTTTCCTTGCCCAGCCCTTGCTCATCACCCAAAACAGCCCTGTCATGTTGGCCGGTGTTTTGTACTTGACCAGTCTTCTAATGTGTTCCAATGCGAGAGAAGCCCAAGGTAGGTGAGGATGGGTGATAAGCTTCAAAACCCACTTCGTTTGCAACGCCTTCATCTGCTGCCCCGGGTCTAATATGCCCAATCCCCCTTGCTCTTTTGGCTGAATTACATACTTCCAGGCTACCTTAGATATGACATTCGGTTTACTTGAGTTTGCTGTCCATAGGAAAGCTGCTGACCTTCTTCTTAACTCACTAATAGACTGATCTGGCGGTGTCCAAATCGAGCCTACATACCACAACATGGAGGCGTTTAGGATTAACGCTCTTCCAAACAAGGAAGTATAAATTGCTGCCCAAGCACTTAGCTTCATCAGAATTTTCCTAAAATCTCTGAAGCCATTGAGTGGTGTGGCCCTGCTTCTGCTACCCTAATTCCCAAATAACGTAACGGTTCCCCTACTGTTGACCACTGCATTCCTTCCGGGGTGTTAACCAGTCTCTGCTCTTCTCCTTCTCCATAGTGCAACCACCATTTTATAGTCTTGGGCCAATTTATTCTCATTTCAGATGCGAGCTGGAAAGCAAGCATTGCTCGAGTGAGAGCCTCGAAGGATGAGCTGGAGGCACAAATCAGCACCGTCAGGTCATCAGCAAAAAGAGTGTCGTCGGCAAGTGAATCAGTCTACCCTGCTAATTCGGTTCAGCTATCAACCGCTGGATGGAGGGATCCTTTCTGAGAAATGATGCCACTGCTTCCATTATGAACAAAAAGATGGGGGCTCCTAAGGGGTCCCCCTGTCTGACCGATCTCGACATCCTATAGCTCTGCAACAGGTGACCGTTCACTTGAACCTGCCCATGTGCATCATTGTATAAGACCCGTATCCATTTCCTGAAATTCGGTCCGACCCCCATCCTTTCCATGCACTGCTGGAGGAAACACCAATTTACTTGGTCAGATGCTTTCTCAAAGTCAAAGAACGGTATTGCCGCATTCATTCTCTTATCCTTAATGTAGCGAACTGATTCCATCAAAGTCATAACGTTGTCCAGTATAAACTGGCCTGAGATAAAACCAGTCTGATCCAAATGAAAACAGCCCCTTGTAACCTTGCTGAGCCTTTAGCCAAGGCTTTCGCTACTATCTTGTGTGTGAGTGTCAGCAAGGTGATGGGCCTGTAGTTCCTTATATCTACAGGATCCCCTTTTTTGTACAACAACGTGACAATCCCTCTGGCCGGATCCTGGCCTAGCCCCTTTCATTACACACATTTGAACTATTCTCATGCCATCAAATTGTTCCAAGAGTTCATCGTACTTCATACTCACCATGCAAGTATCGCCATGACAAAAGTGTCAAGGACAAAAAGCCAAACAATAGCCCCGACACTCAATGGTGAAAGCCTGTCACCTGGATCAACACCAATCGACTGACATACAACAGAGGGTGTACAGTTTAGAACAAAAATAGAAAAACTCTAATCAGAAACTAGCTTTAGCCATTGAGCACAATTCCTTTTCCAAGAAACCACGACTACTCAGTAAGACACTGTGCTTTTGCACTCCCAATAGCACAAGGGGGGGAGATCAAGGACGAATAAAAGGGCGGCAGACGAAACATGATGCTATTGCCAAGTCGAGCCGAACGGGTAAACGTGCAGACAGGTCAACAGACAGGCAGGCAGACAGGTGGACAGACAGGACCGCAGACAGAGGACAGACAGGAGGTTGGGGAGGCAGTGAGGGGTTGCACATGGCTGAATGGGTAAGATATACAGACAGGCCTCAGGGATGGGCAAACAGACAAACAGAGAGAGGAGGATGCCATTTGTGAGGATTTCACATCCTTATATTTCTGACTACCTTCTTCCCCCGAACACAACGTACGGTCATTATAGCTGTATTTGAGGCATCTTTCAGTCTAGATACAGCTATAATGACCGTACGTTGTATTCAAGGGAAAAAGGTAGCATGTTCGTGTTAAACCATGTCCCTGTAGAATGCACTGGGACAATGAGACCAGGAAGTGAACTGGAAGTTCAAAATTCAAATGAACCACAAAAAGGGTGCAGAATTCATCAACCAGCAGAGCATATTGTGTTTCATAAGAAGGAAGAGAAGTCACTGACCCACAGAGAACACTTCATTAATCCACAGAGAAAGTCTATGCATAAAGATGAAAGGAAAAAATCGTTGTTTAACTGCTGGTACACCACTTATTTGTTCATTGACTAAGTTTAGAACAAATTCATAAATCATTTCAACAAAAGATTGCCAAGCATTGGGTACTAAATGACCTCCATTCATGCCTGGAAGTCCACGGGGGAAACTGGTGACTTGATCCAGTGAAACCCCGCCAAATAGGTAAGAGAACTCAAAGCAAGTAGAGTTAGTGAGCCGTGTAATGGGCAACTATTTCACACGGTTCGGAGGGCACTTATTGAGAGCTTCTATGGTAAATGAACTTTACCAACCAGGCACATGGCCAGAGTTAATAGGCTCAGTCAGTGCTATCCATTTTCATTTATTTCACGAGGGACCAGTCCATGTCCAAAGACTGGCTCAGTGTTATCAATTCTCATTTATTTCACGAGGGACCACTCGATGTCCAAAGACTTCTGCAAATCTCAGTACCCCTCTGCTCGTGCCAGTCCAACAAACCGCAAG